CTAGCTCCATGGCTAGCTCCATGGCTAGGCTCCATGGCTAGCTCCATGGCTAGGTTCCATGGCTAGCTCCATGGCTAGCTCCATGCCTAGGCTCCATGGCTAGGCTCCATGGCTAGCTCCATGCCTAGGCTCCATGGCTAGGCTCCTTGGCTAGTTCCATGGCTAGGCTCCATGGCTAGGCTCCATGGCTAGCTTCGTGGCTAGCTCCATGCCTAGGCTCCATGGCTAGCTCCATGGCTAGGCTCCATGGCTAGGCTCCATGGCTAGCTCCGTGGCTAGCTCCATGCCTAGGCTCCATGGCTAGCTCCATGCCTAGGCTCCATGGCTAGCTCCATGCCTAGGCTCCATGGCTAGCTCCATGGCTAGCTCCATGCCTAGGCTCTATGGCTAGCTCCATGCCTAGGTTCCATGGCTAGCTCCATGGCTAGCTCCATGACTAGGCTCCATGGCTAGCTCCATTGTTTCTTACTCTGCAGTCGTGGAGTCTCAATGTCTGGGATCCTGAGCGCCCCCTGCCATGAGGCAGGAAAACTGCCTGCATCACCTCCAGTCTGATCTCTGCTGGTTCTTTTTGCTCCTCAGCAAACGAATCACGTTACACACAGTTGATGACAAAAAACACTGTACATCATGTACATAAGCTAAATTATGGAGAACCAGTTCATATATTAAATGTTTTGTACCATTTCATTGGCGACGTACAGACAGGAGGAGCATGCTCTCATAGAGTGGCAGCCAGTTAGCGAGATGTTGATCAGTCCCAGGTGAGTCTCAGCTCACTGCTGCCTCACCGGCTTCACTTCACAGCATTTGAATAGGAAAATGGGAAAATTCAGTGATTTTGAAGAAAAAATAATAATCTGAATTGGTTAAGCTAAATAAAAAATAAATACTTTACAGCACAAACCACAGGGTGAAAAAAGCAATATAAATTATTTTATTATTATGTTTTTCCATCATGACAGGTGAGAATCTGCCTCACTTGCCTCCCCTGACCAAACGTCACTGGAATAAACAATATTGTACACTGACAATATCAGGGCACCAATTATTGAGAAAAAGGGTCAAATTGATCTAGAGTCTAACAAAGCTAACACTACGGATTGATGTAAAGAAGATCTAATTCAACATTATTTTCACTTTGTCCAAAATATAACATCCATATGGTCACAGCTCCCCTGAAATAACAAACCAGTTCTGTTTCATTTGTTCAAAGTGGTAAATATTTCACTTTATACTGTTTTGCTAAACTAGTTTTCAAATCTTCTCGTCATCACCACAATACATGATTTCTATTACAAGTGTTAGCATTATTTTAAATGTTCAGGTTTGTGTATTGTGTAGGACCAAAGTGAGACAGTATTCTGACTGAACAGGGTTGGAATATTGATTGTGAATTTAAAATATCTGGTAATACCTAATTTCCTGATTTCCAATCAGACATCTCCATATCTGTATGTGCAATAAGGAATGCATTGGACACCATAATGGCTTCTAATATCTTTAAATAGCATTCATTCACTCATTATTTGGACATTTGGAAGGACTTTCACTGCCTTTAACCCACTTGCGATGTTTGATGTAGTAACTAAGACGCTAGAAGTCGTAATGAGGTCGGCATGATGTGCAGAACACAGTTTGTTAGATTGAAGACTTGAGTGTGTGACCAGGTGGCCAGCAGCACCACAGGGCTCTGTACTCTCAAGACCCAGCCATTCTGAATCTAGATCAGATTTCACCAATAAAGCTAGTGTGTAATTTTAATTTGAGCTGAATGGAGAACGTGGATCCGGTTGAACGAATGAACCCATTCCTTATAAAAAGTCACTATATTACAAAATGATCCCACGGTTCAAGACAGATGCTGCTGATGTCAGTCACACGACTCCATGATTATGAAGTGTGATTCCTGGAAATGCAACAATACTTCATCTAATGAGGGTAACTCCAAAAAGAAAGCACGCCATTCCCAGATGAAAAACAGACGATAAAAGACCATCTTCTGTGTAACTGTTCAGGAATTTTCCTCTTAATATTTATTATACCAATAAAAAGAACGAGTTTATAGTGCCTCTAAGCAGGGCACTGTGGGGAGTTCGCTGCAGTCAGATGTTACTGGCTGTCAGGTGATGCAGTAGATGCGGATTATTATGGATTCCCAGAGAGTTTAGCAAATGAGACAAACAGGATAAAATCCAGAAGCAGCAAAATTGACACAATGCAAAATGTTACAGGAAATTACAACCTAAATATGGTGTTTGATAAAATTGTGTTTTGCTCCAAAAAGACTTAATCTCCTTAATCCTTAATCTCTATCTATCTATCTATCTATCTATCTATCTATCTATCTATCTATCTATCTATCTATCTATCTATCTATCTATCTATCTATCTATCTATCTATCTATCTATCTATCTATCTATCTATCTATCTATCTATCTATCTATCTATCTATCTATATCTATCTATCTATCTATCTATCTATCTATCTATCTATCTATCTATCTATCTATCCATCCATCCATCCATCCATCCATCCATCCATCCATCCATCCATCCATCCATCCATCCATCCATCCATCCATCCATCCATCCATCCATCCATCCATCCATCTATCTATCTATCTATCTATCCTAGTTTTACTAAACATCATTGTAGTATCTCTTCGTGGGTGTACGTGTTGGCCACCAATTGACCACATTCAACCTGTCTGACCTCATTACAGTCCGAGTGCTGCCCACAGTCAGTCCAAACACAAACGTTTGTCTGTAGTTCTTTTGTTTCTGCTGTGTGACTCACTGAGTTTCTTTCTAAATGGCAGCAAAAACTAAAGGTGCGATGAACACTACGCCGGTGCTTCAGTGCACTCACCAACATCGAGATGATTACGCCATTTTTATATACATTTTTAAAAACGTATTTCATAGCCGACAAACGTAAAACAATGACAAGTGGCCACTTGGTTTTGGTGGGGAAATTAAAAATGTAGGCAACCACAGTGAATGTCTAATGGGTCAAGAGTCGCCACTAATATTACAACAGCCATTGTAAATCCAAAGACCCACCAGGATGATACTCTAAATACTTTCTATTAGGAAGTAATTAGCTGTCAAAATTCATTTATGAAGCTGCCAGGTGACATGACTGGTAATATAAGATCTGCATATTAAAGACGCCAAAGGAAAACCTCCAATGTGCTTCCCTTTTTTGTATCTCTCCACACTGGAGGGATACAAAAAGATAATTCACGCCCCTTTGAGTTTTTCACATTTTGTTGTGTTACAGCTAAAAATAATGTGTTCTGTGTTTTGGGGGATTTTGGGTTTTAAAATAGAGGAAATAAAAAGATACATAGGTGTCCACATTTCTGACAAGAAAAATCTGACAGCTGTGTGGTTTTCATTCCTATCCGACTCCTCTGAGTTAAGACCTTGCAAAAACACGTTTCACTGCAATCGCAGCTGTGAGTCTTTAGGGGTCTGAATCTACCAGCTTTTTGCATCGAGACACGGACGTTTAGCTCAAGACTGGGACCGCAGGACAATAGGAACACATATGATAAGCCGTTTCTGATTAATGCTACTACTTGGAAGGCTTGCAATTCTGCCATAATCTTTCCATTTCAGGATAATGGATTGAACCAACCTCTGTGAGTTTATGTGTTTTATAAACATAAACTTGCTTTAAACTTCTCCACAACTTTCTGCCTGGGATGTCTGCTGTGTTCCTTGGTCTTCATGATGCCATTTGTTCTCTAATGAAATACCTCTGAGGAATTAACAGAACAATCGAATTTATGCTCAGATTCAATTACAGAAAAGGAGCGCTGTTATATGGCTGCTGTAATTATTTTCTCAATTTTAATTAGAAAAAAGTCAGAACAGCACATGTAAGAACTTCGTTTTTTAAAAGAAAAGTCCTCTTTATGTCACAAAAGGCACAGATTGTTACTGTTCAATAATCTGTGCTTGTATGCATAATCTAATAGAATATCTGGATATTCAACTGATTTCTTCATGTATTGGTTTGAGGTTCTCAGCCATTATGGATGAAACTTGACAAATTTTTCAATCGGAGTTAAAAATAAACTTGTGATGGTTTAAAACTTTTGCACGTTACCACTATCAATCTTTCAAAGCTGTTCGAACCAACTGGCTGTCAAAACTGAAGGGCAGAGTTACAAACTACACCACCAGGTGTTTCTTAAGCAGCACTGGTGGTTAATTATTGTTTAGTGGCAATACTTATTAAACACCAGGTGGCGCTTTTTAAGCACATTTATTAGCCAGGTAGTGGCTCTAATTTCATGCCTGGTAGTGCTTTTGAGGGCATTTATCATTAGATGATGATGGAAAACAAGCAATCTCCAAACTGGCTTCCTGTAAACATCTCATCTCAAGTTATCGCTGTACATAAATGCAAGCTATGCTTTTCAGATATGTTTGTGAAAAATATATATATTCACAGGTATGTATCCTTTTCCTCTCACTTGGCAGATACACTCAACTTTCTGATAGTCTTACACATCATTTTTCAATGAATAATTGACTCCCACTCATCTTTCATTGATTCCTACAGCCTAACTCTGACCCTCACCCCACACCGAACCCACAATAGCACATGAAGAGCAGCAGGTTTTCGTAATGTAGTATTTGTTGTAAAAATGGGCCGAACGAAATGAGAAATGCTTAAAACATTTAAAAAAAAACATCTGTAAATCTTCTTTGGCCTTTGAATTGACTTCAATTCATTTCTTTAACTGTATATCTGCCTGACTCTAACCTTAACCAAAGCTCAATTCAAAGACCCATCAATATTCAGATTGTTGGTAGGTGTATATAGGCAACATAAATGAGTTCACACACACACACACACACACACACACACACACACACACACACACACACACACACACACACACACACACACACACACACACACACACACACACACACACACACACACACACACACGCATAAAGTGCAGATATAGAGTCACCTTTAAAAATGCTGGTGCAGGTGCAGAGGGGAAGTAAAGCATTTCATCATTTCCTACTTGTGGGCCTGAGACAGGAAAGCAAGGAGAAATGAACTTGGAAGTAGTCCAGGGTGTTTTCCTTTGGTCTCTGCTTACAACCAGCCACACAGCACCAGCGCACAGCCTCCGTCTGACTCTGCAAGCCTATTGGAGCGTTGACAGTGGCCCCGCTCCACCCCAATGTGTCACTTCCAGGCCATCAAGGTCAATTGTCCACTCGCATTTTGTCTCTTTCAGTGCTTGAATCTGAATACATAAAAACATAAACGTAATGTTTTGGACTTTTGTTGTGCATCCTTTCAAATTTCTTATTACATGAACATGGAAAAGTGTCACAGTTCAATTTGGCAGGTAAGTGGTTTAACTTTGTCTAATTTTTGGAATATCAGTGTTAGAATAAAAAAAAGAAGAAATTACCTGAAGAAAATGTGGGCAAATTAAGTATCTAACAATTTCTGTAGTATTGATGCTATTTCAGTAGTTTTGATATTGATATTCTTCCACAATCTTCCACTTAATCCAGGATCGATTTGGAGTAGCAACAACCTAAGCAGAGAGACCCAGACTTCCCTCTGCCGAGCCACTTGGACCAGCCGAGTAACATGGTCCCTCCCTCCCTGGGGCTCCCTCTGGGTCTTTCCCCGGGTCTCCTCCCAGTGGGACGTGCCAGGAATACCTCACCAGAGAGGTGCCCATGAGGTAGAGCCACTTTAACTGGCTCCTCTTGACATGGAGAAGCAATGGCTCTGCTCTGAGTCCCTCCTCGATAATGGATCTTCTCATCCTGTTGAAGGAAGAGCCCAGACACCACCCACTTGTATCTGTGACATCACGCCAGAGCTACCCAGAGCTCGTGACTATAGATGAGATTAGACATGAGGATTGACTACGGCGCTCACTTCACTGCAGACACTGCACCAATCCGACTTCCAACTACCAACTACCGATCTCCAGCTCCATTTTTCTCTCATTCGTGAACAAGATCCCAAGATACTTGGGGAAGGACCTCTACCCTTCTACAACTCAAGACCTTGAGTTGCTCATTCTCATCTCGGCTGCTTCACATTTGGCTGCTAACTGCTCCAGTGAAAACTGAAGACCCTGGTTTCTTGAAGCCAACAGAACTGATTTCTGCACAAAGCAGAAACCCCATCCGAAGGCCGCCAAAATGGATCCTGTTCTGCTAGAAATTCTGTCCATAAACGGTATGGGCTGAAGCTCTGACACTGGTTGTACAGGGACCCAACTGGGACCTTTCAACGGGCCCAATGTGCAGGCAAGCATCTCCCACAGGATTCCCAGAGGGATGCAGTCGAGCGCCTTTTCTAAGTCCACAAAACATGAGGATGAAGAGCTGGTCCAGGTGACTAACAGGCTGACAAGCTAGAACTATTTATTAGTTTCCTTGCAATTGTGCTTTGACAACTTTCTTTGTTTTGACTGAATTAATTAAGTAATAAACTTAATTTTCATTCAGATTCGAACAAGGATGAAGAGAAACAACATGCGGTTGAAACTTCAAACCCAGCATGGTTTAACGTAACCCTGACTAATCCATAGCTACGATATTAGGGGTCGGCATTCATCGTATCATTTACCGTGATAAATTTCCTGTGATTATAGGAATCTTGATTCATTATTGTCACGATAAATTCTAATTACTGAAGTTTAAAAAAACAACAAAAATACTAAAACTGTCCTTCCTGTCGTAGTAGAAAGTTTTGCTGTTTTCTCCACGGTTCATTCAATAAGAGCATAAAGAACTACATATTAACGTACGTCTTAAATGCAGTTACTGTGAGCAGCTTAGTGATATGAATCATGTCTTTATGTGACTGGAGTTCAAAAGCAGCATGTTTTACATGTATGGGAATGTCTTTCAGGAGCAGCATAGAATATGCAGGGATTTTACTGTTGTGTCATGCAGTCACATCGATACAGTTACCTAGAAAATAATAATAAGTACCAAACAGCTCACTTTAACCATTATCACAACAGAACCACTAAATATCGTGAAGTCCACCTCTATCCTAACTCCAGGTCTGGGTGTGAGAAGTAATCAGAATTGTGTTGTTTTTGGCCCAAGCTTTTTAAACAGGACTGGGGTTATTATCCTACTCTCTCGCCTGTCTCTCTCCCAGTATGTGTCCCAGTGTGTGTGTGTGTGTGTCCCAGTGTGTGTGTGTGTGTGTGTGAGAGAGAGACAGCCATGTTCTCCCAGCCTCCTCGAGCCAGTAACCATGACAACGGGATGGCTGGGAGACACTGCTAAAGCTCAATCGAGGCCGGTGTCTCTCCTCTAAAATAGACCTTGGTCGTGTTTCGAGAGCGACTTGTCCTCCTAAAAGCGGAGAGGAAACGCTTTTCTTCTCTTCTCCGGGGGCTTACGGAGTGGGAGAAAGCGCACATTCACACACACCTCGATAAAAAAATAACATTAAAAAAAAACGAAGAAGAAGAAAATAAATCCCACGGCCCGCGCGGTGCGTATCTTCCAGGCTACATTTCATTAGCCCCAAACATTTCCGTCCTTTGAGAGCTGAAAGCTGCTGCTGTGTTTGGTGAGAGAAAAAGGGAAACGCGGGGATGGCAAACCCCGAGCCTCCACGAAGACTTTTAGAGGTGGTGGTGGGGAGGCTTAAAAGAAAACAGGCTACATCCTAAACAACCGGTTAATAGAGACACAGAGAGCCTCCGCGGCCGCCGCAGCGTCAACTGATAAACTGTCCTCACTCACCGGGAAAGCGCGTCCTGTCAGGGACTGGAGATGAGGGACTCCTCGTCTGCCTATTCACATGCACACCGGGTAATAACTCTGACAGACGGGCTCTTTTTCCTCCGCTCGGCCCCCTCCTCCTCCTCCTCCTTCTCGTTCACGTCCGCCGCCGAATGACGGACGCTCGCGGTGTGAGTCTCGCGCCTCCGCTCCGGCTGGCTGGCAGGCGGTGGGGGGGGAAGGGGGGGGGCGCGCGGTCCAGGCGGCGGAGCGCGGCTCCTCGGCGGACCGACGAATGGCTACGGGAGCGTCCTCCCACCGTCCCCTCCTCTCCCCGGAGCCTCGGCGTGTTTGAGTGGCAGCTCGGAAAAATGGAAACGCGCCTCCACGGGGAGCAGCGCCGTCACTCCTCGCGCGGTCAGAGCGCGGAGTGAGCGGGACGCGTTTCGAGGGGCAGGTTCAGGTTAGCGCCCCGCCATCGGTTGTGTTTACACACGTGTCTGTCTGTCTGTCTGTCTGTCTGTCACTCCACGATCAATCACGTCGTGAAAGTGCTTCACAGTGTCCTCTGATGGATTAAAGTCATTTGCTTCACCAGAGGTTGACACGTCAAGAAAAAAAATATTAACTGGCGGGGTTTTTTTTTAATTTTATTTGTTTTGGAACAAAACAATGAGGAAAACAAAACAAAAAATCAGATGATTTACTGGCAGTCATCTCGAGCTGTCCAAGGTCCAAAGTCCTGGATGTTGCACTGGTCATGCTGGAGTTGGTTTGAACAGGAATTGTATGTCTGGGAAGGAAAACATGACCTTTGCAGCTGTCGATGAAGCCTGCATGACTCATTTTTAGCTTTGTGTCTTTGAATGACCCCCGTAAAGATGTGACACTCTTAGAGCATGAACTGTAAAACAATTCAAACCAAATCCAAGCTTTCGGTTTCCATTAGATGGTTTCATTTTTTCAGGCCTGTTTAAATGTCGTCGGCACTACGACCGCACGACGAGATTTAGAAAGATGGTTTCCAAACAATAAAAGACAACAATTTTTCCTTACGTGAAGCCCTTTCTCCAGCTGTTCAGCGATGCCTCTCCTCCAGCTGTGATTGCTAGCAATCAGTGTGAGGCTATCAAAACTTTCCCCATTTTGACAAGAAAGTAAAATTCAGCTGTTTTAGAAATAGCTTCCCTTCCAAATTTTACAAAAATACACACAGTTTTTTTGGGAAACACTCTGGAAACTACTCTCTTCCTTGTGTTTGGTTCATGTATGTCATTTATTTCGTTAAAGGCTTTATGGCTCTTTGAGATTTATTTGTATTTCGACATGGAAAAGTCCTGACTCAGCATATTCCAGCAGTTTTCATTAACCCTCTCAATCTAGAGCCTTTCTGAATGTATTCCAGCCAAAAAGATGAACAGATTTTACTTATGTCATAGCACACTAACATTAGCATATTATGGATTTATTTATTTTTTTTAACCATAGTAAATTTTCTGTTATGTAAGATGGACAAAAAAAAGTAGCTCATAAAAACAAATTCAGACGATGTCACCTTTCCTGTTTGCTACAAGGTCATATACGAGAAATTGCAGCCATGCAGAAGACGTTGCTGCTGTCACATAATAATTTCCTGGCTTGTGTGGAATGTGTGTGAAAAAATAAACAACGTGGGCACATCTCCCTGAACGGCAGCGGCACCAGGCTGTGACTTCCTTGGCGTGGACAGAAAAGCCGGTCAGCCTTCATGTGAAGACATCATGGCTACTTATCAGTCCTTTAAGCTACTTTGTCGGCGTCTAATTTCTGACTCTAAAGGCCCCGACTGAGCACCAAGAATCCAAGTATAAAACGCAGCAGGAGATCAAACACTCGCCGTATTTGTTTTTAATTTCAATCTTTGTCGTCCATCTCGAGTTCCCAGTCCCAACAAAGCTGCTGCCAATGTTCTGTCTCTGCATGTGGAGCAGATTTAAAAGGAGAACCGTCGCCGATTAAATCACTAACGAACACAATCATTCGTGTGGGCTGGAGAACAAAGATAAACCCGAGTCCTGATGTGACATTCTCTGCGGAAAGCAACAGAGCTAGTATCGGCTGAGCGTCTGAGTTTTTGCCTGTATGTAGAAAGTGATGGTGTGTGCGCGAGCGGCATCTGTAAATGAGCTGTCAGAAAGGCATTTGGCTTTGATGCTGGAATGAAGCAGCAATGTTGTCAGACAGGGCACCGTTTCAAACAGAATGTAAAAAATCTTAACGCTGCAATGTTGCCTGTCAGCATGTCTCGAAAATCGCTGCTGGTACCCTGTTTTCTCGACAAACCAGACCGTCGTGCCACCTTCATCCTTCGCGCCTTTTCCCAAATATAGAAAGAGCTTGGATGCAGTGGTTTCCAAAAATAACTCAGACCCTTTCGACTATTCCAACGCGACAAATTCTGCAGAGTTAAATCAACACGAAGCCCACTCTATTTGGTCCCTTTCAGAATTGGCATTAATTTACAGTTACAGTTATTTCAATAATAGTTTGAGTAGTTGTAACTTTTTCAAGCGTTGAAACGACTCAATTCCTTGTTGAAATAACTCTGAAAAGAACGAAATGAACACCAGTTCTGATGAAGACCAAATAGACTCAGCATAGTGTTGATTCAACTCTGCAGAGTTTACTGTGAAGGTTTGTCACGCCACAAACAATGCAAATGAGTGCAGGAAGAATAAAACAGGACAAATAAAAACGCTCCGTAGTTATGACTCCATAGCTGCAGAATAGTTACAGAGTTTTTCTCCACAGTTGTTCTGTTTTTCCACCACCTCTACTGTGAAACACGGTGGTGGCAGCATCATGGTGTGGGGATGCAGAGCTTCGCCTTCCGTCCAAATGGCAGCCCTACACATGACCCCCCAGAGTAACGCCAGAGTAGTTTGGAACAAACTACGCACTGCAAAAGCACAAAATCTTACCAAGTATCCTTGATCTAGTTTTTGGGGTAAATGTCTCAGTACACTTGAAATACGACAAAAGTAGCTTACCAGTAACTTTTATGAGATATTTGAGCTTGTTTTAAGTAAATAATTCCTTTTAAAAAAGTAGCACTTCCACAGCCAGATAATTTCCCTTAGAACAAGGGGGAAATGTCTTGTTATAAGTGAAACAATCTGCCAATATCTCCTACTATTTTATCAATATCAAGAAGTTCCATCTTTAAAAAATTCAAAATTAAAATTTATTGATCTCACAAGGAAATTAAAAGTTGTTGTATCACAGGAATTCAAATTCTACACAGAGTGTGTTCTATGACAAAGGAGGTGTTAGCAAAAATCACACCTAACAAGGCTTCCACGTTACAGTTCGGGATTTCTTCTTTGTTCTTTCACGTAAAGTCGGGAATGAATTGCGTATTTACAGTCTAAGTGGAACCAGAGCCACTTTGCGTTCTCGTTTTGGCTCCAAGTCATTTCGGAAGCACAGGAGATACTGAACCCTGTGAGTCTTTCCCCCCGCCCCCGCTGAAGACTTTCTGGTATACGCTTTCTTATCAACCCTCCTCAAATGTGCAACATCGACTAGCTCTAATGCGAGGCGCGCGTGGGCCGAGGAGATCGATAGAAGGATGCAGATGAAGAAGAAGAAGGGAGCGAGTGAAAACAGGTGAGGAGAAAGATAGAAGTACAGCAGAACAAAAGAACAGGTTGGGTGTGTTTTTTGAAGGTTAGAGAGGCAAGATTTGCCCAGGAGCACAGGTAGCGTGTGTGTGTGTGTGTGTGTTGGGTGGGGGGTCATCCAAGGAGAAAGATGAAGAAGAGGAGGAGGAGGAGCGCAGCCATCTGAAGATGACAAAGGGAGTTCAGACTGACCAGCAGTTTTATTTGAAACCCATTGAAGATGCAATGTCAATCCTAATTACTAATTCATTAACCTTCCAACTCCCATCCCCCTTTATCCCATTTTTTTTCTTTTCCTTTTAGTCAGATGCTCCCACATACGCAGCCGCTGCTGCCTCTCCACCCCCACCTCCCTCCTCCTCCTCTTCCTCCTCCACCCTGTCTGCGTCCCAGGAGAGGCAGGAGGATGGATACGCGGCGAAATGAAGAGATGCGTCTGTGGCTAAGTGACATCTGCCGGGGCCCTGATGGGGGCAACGTGTTGGGAACGCTGCAAATCCCTGATGTGACAATGGAGGGAGGAGGAGGAGAAGAGGAGGAGGAGTAGGTAACCGGTGGATGAGGGGGAAAAAGAAAAAAACAAAAAAAAGCAAACAGCTTGTGTTCTGCTTCGTCGGGAAGAGGGGTGGTGTCCTGTAATGGTGCACATAAGTACGTTAATGTGCACTGGCAGAATATGCATATTTAAGCGCCGGATGCATGCATCTTTGTTTTTTTTTTTATGTGTGTGTGTGTGTAATTTTGCAGTCGTGTGAGGTCTGTGTGTGTGTTTGTTCATAAAAAATTGAATGTAGGTTTTGGAGGACATAAATCAATATAGTGAAGTAATAATAAGCAAGGGGGAGGTGGCAGACGAGACTGATAGTGTGTGTTTCGCTTCTATACCTCCAGACTCCTGGCTCTCTTTCTCTCTGCGTGTGTAGGTGTGTGTGTGTGTGTGTGTTTAAGCTTCATCCCACAGCTAGCATTCCTCTGCACATGCTTATATGCAAACCTCATTAAAAAGATACAGATACAAACGGTGCTCTCTCATGGGCTCTTAATCAGGCTCTGAAATCCACACACACCCACACACACACACACACACACACACACACACACACACACACACACACACACACACACACACACACACACACACACACACACACACACACACATACAGAATGAGTCAGTGCTGCACAGCTGAGTGGATTCAAACAGAGAAATCCTCCAAACAAGTATTGATCAGCAGAGTTTACAGCTCCAGTTCCCTCAGTGTCTGCAGGCTGAGCGACGGGGAGCTCTATGGGACAGCTGGGGGAGTACACACACACACACACACACACACACACACACACACACACACACACACACACACACACAGATCACAGAGAGCATGTGTATATGTGATTTTCATCCCCGAACTTCACAGCCATAACAGCCTGAGTGTCTATAAAGGACGCGTCTTTAATACACGATGGAAGTAAAAAGTATCTACATGCATTTAAGTGCGGAACATAAACATAAACAAAAAAGAGCCATTTCCGACCCAGAGCCTCATGACAGCATGCTCAGAAGTTGCTTCTCTTCAAAGTTGTTTCTTGTTTTTGCAGAAGCCACGATGTGCTTGAAGATGATTTGTGTTCAAAGTCTCCAGGAATCCAAGAAAAGTCTTTTTCGGTTTCAAACCAAACAGCAATAGATTTTTTTCATTTCCCTTCAGATACTGATATTGGAGGCTTAGCGTCGTCCGATTCTAATCTGATACAGAAACACTGTTCTGAAGAGACTTACAATGTTTCTTGTT